TTTTCTTGGCGCTATAGCCCCAGTGGGCCTAGGCCTACCTCCATGAACTCGGTTCACTTCGGTTTTTCTAGATCTTACACATACGGTAGGACTCCTTGGGCGAGTGATCAGCTCGTCGTAAGGATGTAAATATTACTAAGTTATATTTTAAGGAGATATATGAAAACTGAGGCTCTCATACGGCAGTGACTGTGAAATTCATGTCTATCAGACTACATGGTGTCACACCACAGAATACAGGACTTTTCGAGCCATAGTCATGTTTCCTTGGATATAGCAGCCGAAATTATTAACAGTGTTTATCGTGTTTAAATGTTTATAGAGACTTAACCCATGTAATGAGAGTTTAGTGATTACAGTTACAATTTTTATAAATTTTGAATGTTCTTAGGTTTATTGTTCTAGATGAGGTTTTTGATTTTTTTTTTCAGTTTACCTAAGCCTTCCAGCCGCATTATGGCCCTGGGGCCGACTCCCAACCCTATGGGCCTTCATGGCCTGTTACAGAGGTAAGTTTACCTCTTGAGTTTGAATATGACACTTTTCAAACGCTAGCGGAATTTCAAACCTTTATAACAATGACTCCCTGTTGAACGCATCTCTGGTTTTTACGGCCTTACGTTTCAGGTTATGCCATATAAGTTTCTGTGTTCACGAAGCACAGGTAGAGTTACAATGTTTTGTGAGGTGCGGTTGCACTGCATGACCGCGTCTGCATGACGACTGAAGAACCTTCACGGACACTCTTGCGAGTAATGAGTGAGCTCTGTACCGTAGTAGACCTGTCATCCTAAAATCTGCTGCTGTCCGGATGCTTGAGAACACAGCATGTTCTCGGTAAGCGAGAGAGGAGAGAGATTGCATGTAGAACTAGAGGCTGGTATGGCGGGCGGATGAGAGAAATGTTACGTTATCCCCTAAGGTTCGGCTTTCAAATCACGCAGCTCTGCTCACTGGTCTATGAAATATAGACCTTATTGTGAGGGACGAGTAGTAAGACAGGAGTATAGGGGTAAGGGGAGAGCATGATGGAACATATCTCTGCCTTTCCCGATTTTGGAGGAATATGTTATGAGGAGCACGTGCCAGTGCACACAACGAATCTGAGATTCGTGTAGATATTCTACACAAACTATATACCATTCATTGTAAGTCTTCCTATGCATTTGTAAAGTGAGACTGCAGCGAATGGTATGCAGTATGTTAGAAGGAGTAATATTGCGAATTTATATGAGTTACTTTAGTTTCTTTGGGTAAGATGAGATTCAGTCTCGGAGAAAACCTGCCCCAGTGCCACTTTCATCCACCACAAATCCCACATGAACTGACCTAGGCTCGAACCTGGGCCGCCGCGGTGGGAAGTCGATGACTAGCCGCTTGAGGTATAGCACGGCTTTTTATATGATCTTACTTTAAAAATTCATGAAGTGGACCAGTTGTAACCGTGAAATTCATCTTTAACAAATCACAGAGGATTGATATTAAATAAAATAGTTTGGTATTTTATATATTGTTCTTGCTAATAAAATAGAAGATTGAATTTCAAAACGGGCAGGAAAATCTGTAAAGTACTTTTTCTTCTGTGCCTACTAACAAGACATCAGTGTGGACAAGCTTCATAAAAAGATATTTTGGATCCACCAAAGAAGTAATGCAATGGGTTGGATCCAGGTTTGCTCTATATTTATGAAACGAACACTATGTCTATTCTGCCCATTCCTAAGGACAATTGAAACGACAATTGAAAATGCAGAAAATCGGAATAATAAACATGGAACTGACGACTATGTCCTCAACTTCTTGTGGAAGAATAAAATCATACGTTTAGGAAGAAAAGAGTAAGGACTTGCACCTCTTGGTTGTAGTTACCTCGGTAGGTAATTCTGAAATCAGGGATAATATAAGCGGTTTAACCATTCAAAGTATAATGGTAATTATATGACCTGATAGTTCAGTCGGTATAGCAATGGAATAAGGCCTGGACGGCAAGAGTTAGATTCCTGGAAAGGCCATGCGGGCACTCCGCAGCGTCCAGACCGTCTCTTTGGGCCAACATGGCCTCCTATCTAATAGGTACCGCGGGCTCTCTCCCCGTCGGTAAAGCGGCCGGCGCGTAAATTTAATTACTCAGCTCAGTTTAATGCCAAGGTCAAGAATGGTGGAGCTATGTTTTCATAGCATGGTGCTCCATTAATTAAGCTCAGGGCAACTTTATCTTTAGATGTACTAGTCTTAACATTTTCTCCACTGAGTATATTGTCAATGCATTGAGTGTGACTACAGACGGGGTTTGGATTGGTAATCGGATTTATCGTGTCTGCAAGTATTTACAGCGCTATTGCTGTCACTCTGCAGTTGGCTCGAACACACACTTAAGTCTTCTCGGCCTGCCGCGACTTCATTAGTTTTCTGGTAACGGCTTTCAACGGTGGACGTTCCCTATCCTCCGGGTTCCCGAACTGTCCCCGTGCCTCACCTACCAGCTGCTCACAGCAACGGCTCACAAGGACTGAGCCTCAGCCATCCTCACTCACTCACTCACTCACGCACCAACCAACTACTCTTCACTTCACTAACTCATCTCCTTCCTAACTGTCCTGTTTACTCGTATAAAATCTCGGCAAGGACCTCACAGAAAACATGATTCCTCTGTTGCTGTTTACGTATCGTTGTCTAGTGACTGCCGCTGTACAGCTGTTTGTTTCGCGGTTATTGTCTAGCAATGGGTCTGCAGGCCACAATATTTATTAATTTTGTCTCAATAAACAAAAATTATTTTCCACCTCAACATTAATCCACCGAGCTCTTTAGCGGAAATGCAGAGTGTTTTAATTCTTAAATATTATTTAGATGAATTTCACTAATGAGTTGACACTGGTGGTTCATTTTAAACTTGAAAGCCTAGCATATTCCCGACCTGTGTGTGTGTGTATATATTCCTTGAATAAAAAGCAGAAGGTGGAAATATAGAGAGGATACGCGCATGCGCGACGTGAGAATACACATACCCTAAGAGAACCTGGTGCTGCCGTACCCATCAAGGAAACGATCATTACACAGGACGCAGGACTACACGCCTATAAGGTAAAGTTGTCCATGTGCTTAACTAATTAAGTACTACGCAATGAAGGCGTATGGGGGAGTGGATGTATAGATCCACATTTCCTTGATTTCAGCACTAGTTGGAGGTGAGTGATCAGCTTCAAGTCCCTGCCGTTTTACCCTCGGGGAAAGATCCTCTGGTACCCATTGGATAGCAGGTTAATGAAACCAAATAAAAATGACAAAATTGTAATAACAACAAAAGTAAATAACCAATATTGGTCTAATTTTAACTAGTTCAAGTTATCGTACGTATTTTAATTTAATTTAAACCGAATTAACTATATAAAAACAATTTCGAGGCTCTTGAAAAATTGAAATATGCTTGTATCGCGAATAACGGATACCCTTCGGGAAAATAGGGCAAAATTTGTATAATTTATATTATTTACGGTTATAACTAAAGACCTGCACTTTAAAAACACAACAATACGAACTTCCCCCAAACTGTAAACATTTGCCAGTGGAGGGTAACAGCAGAGAAGTTTGAGAGAGAGTGTATAAGTACTGCCAGAAAGAGTGACCGAAACATGTCGTAGCGTTGAAACCGCATATTTATCTTAGAATTCCCTATATATTATGAGACTGAAACTGCATAATTATCTTAGAATTCCCTATATATTGTGAGACTGAAACCGCGTAATTATCTTAGAATTCCCTATATATTGTGAGACTGAAACCGCATAATTATCTTAGAATTCCCTATATATTGTGAGACTGAAACCGCGTAATTATCTTAGAATTCCCTATATATTGTGAGACTGAAACAGCGTAATTATCTTAGAATTCCCTGTATGTTGTGAGACTGAAACCGCGTAATTATCTTAGAATTCCCTATATATTGTGAGACTGAAACCGCGTAATTATCTTAGAATTCCCTATATATCGTGAGACTGAAACCGTATAAAATAAGAAAGACATAACCGTATTCGCATCGTAGGGGAAATTTAATTTTGATGCGTGTGAGGGTAATCCTTAGTTTACATGAAGCGCAAAGAGAACTTCATCAAATCCCTACAGAAAATTGGTCAATTACATGAAACACAATCTGCATGAAGACATTCGACATGTAATTCAAATATTTTTATGGTGAATATTTAACACAGTACGGGAACAGATACTTCACAATACTGTAGAGTGACGCCTGAAGTTCGTATCAGCAGCACCAGGGCATCAGCACCATTTCAGGTGTAAGCAGTCGCAAAGAATCCACCTCTCTTTGTATGAGGCAGATACAGTACATCAGATTTTTAACTATATTTGTAGACTGAAGGCAAAAGCCAAGGATATGAACCCTTAAGACATTTATTATAATTAAGAAACATATCGAATCTCTTATTCCTTTCCTTATAAATGCTGTATAACATTTAGCCTAAAAAATTACTCAGTCTATTATGGGCCTAGAAATCTTTACAAGAACCCGTTCTGAATTTGTACGGCTATGATAGATATAAACTTAACAGATGCACCTATTTGAAAACATCAGATTTCTGGAATAGGTGAAATGGACTGTGATAAATTGTTTCAACAATCAAATATTCTATTTATACAAGCAGCTGATTTTACTTGAATCTTCCAACATTCATGAATTCCTTCAAAAATTGTAATTACCTTAGTTAGAGCTTTTCTTCCGAGTACTTTTTGTAAGAACAAAGGCGGTAATTGTGTTATGTATTCAGTTCACATTTACAATTAAGGTCACTGAGAATGAAATTGTCAATCTAGGAAGAGCATCTGGGGTTGTTAAGGAAGCGTCTCAGTGTTGAAGTATGTTCAAATTACATCTTTCTCAAAAAAGACTGAGACTGTCTTAAGCATATGAACTTTAAGTACCTGGTTTCAGTGCATTATAGACAATTTAATACAGTGTTATCATTTCCTCAATGCGGCAGACTTACCGTAAATAATCATTTTTCTGGTCTGCGATCTCTCGTCATCAAAGGTGGACACAGTGCACTTGTACTCCCCGGACAGTTCTGTCGTAGGATTGATGATCTGCAGCGCTCGGTACATTGTGGCGTTGTCGTCTGAGATTCGGTACTCAAGATTCAACTTGCCGTTGAGAACGCCTAAACCCTGCGGTTTCTTCGAGTGTATCCATTGGTACACTGGCGCGGGGTCGTTGTTGAAGAACCATTTCACAACGAGAGCCCCCGGATTCTTTTCGTTAGTCGCGTAGTCATCATCGTTTAACGCGTAGTCACAGTCCAGCACTACGTTGTTAACGGTGCCGTTTCTGATCACGAGGGGCAGCACTGTCGTCACTGGGTTTATCTCCAACCCATCCGCTCCTCCTGCTGAAAAAACAAGAAACAATGCATGCATTACAGTGAAACATTCATATCTATCAACTGCTTCTTCTCTCATTTCCTTATTTCTGATCTGGTTTAGTCACAGTAGTTATGTTGGAAATTTGCTCTGTAACATCCTACGACCCTTTAATATACTATAAGAATTTTATACATATTTACGCATTTTATCGTATGTGGTATAAACATGACTCTATAATTAACTCATTGCAAATGGATCCAACTCCAAATCAAGCGATATTACGATATATATCTATCTATCTATTGTTCTACAGCCCTTTTCTGCTTCTTGCCAGGTTCTTCGCCTTCTTAATCCAATAACAATCAGCAAGACTCCTTGGATGGGGGATCAGCTCGTCGCAAGACAGCTATCTACACACAGAACAACACAAATACAGAATAAACGCACACAGACACCCATGTTTTGAATGGAATTCGAACCCACGACCCCAGCGTTCGAGCGAGCGAAGACAGATGATACCTTAGACAGTGCGGCCACTGTGATCGACGATATTACGGTATGCAATTCATTAATTTCTATCTATTTATGTTTGTAAATATGCACCAGATAATGTTCAACATTTGATAGAAACATGTAGTGATTTTGTGAAATGAAAACAATCAGTTGCCTATGATTAATATTCCGTCTGTGAACTCTGTGTGTACGGGTAATAAAGTAGTAGGAATATCCTATTTTCTCTGGAACATAGGAATATAATATATATGACAAGAGCAGGCTCCTTCTTCATCCATTTTCAAGTTCCTGTTGTCACTGTACAGACACGTATGAAGATACCTGTTAGTGTAATGCAAAATAAATAAACATTTCAGGAAATAAATATGACGCCTGCTTTTCTTCAATATTTCCTGCAATGCATTAAATCAGCATCAACTAGAAAGCAATTACATATTACTGTCTTCTGGAATTTGTCGCACTGTAGTCAATGAACGGAGGCAACCATTTATCAGATTACATGCGTCAGATCCTAGAAGAATAGAATTATCAGCACCGCCTTAATACTGTCAAATCCCGCAATGATTATATATTGTACATACAAATGTCTATGTTTAATTTTCACTAGAACAAACTTCGACTGCCTTATATTTTCCCGATGTAACATCAAAGATTTGTAAGCTAAAGAAAGCTAAAGCTGTTCCTGTAACAGCCCGTGGAGGTCCATAAGTTTGTGGGACGTCGAGGCTCCCACATTTTGTAGACAACAGGCTCATAGATAGCGGTGAAATTGTCAGCCTTACGCGCCTTCCGCCACTTTACCCCCGGGAAGATTCCTGGTACTCATTATTTCTGTTAGAAGCTGTGTCAACCCATGGACACAGTGTGGCTGGAAGGATTAGATAAATTTAAAAATCCCATGACCTCATCGGGAATAGAACCAGCTACCTTCCGACTCGTACCATACCAACTCAACGAACTACGCGTGTTTTGTATAGTTCGGGTTATTTTTAAACTTTTTAAATACCTCCATGATTCGAGCCCTTCTTCAGTACCTGCCAATTCCGCAGCTACTCAAAAATTTCCCAAAATTTTATGGATCTTGAAAGTTAATTACCGTGTTCACAACAGCCCTCCACTGGTATCTATGCTGAGCATCAATCCAGTCCACGCCACACTCCTATCCCCCTCAAATCCATCTTAATGTTATTCTCTTACCTACGTCTTCTTCTTCTTAGCCTTTTTTCCTTCTGGTTTTTCCACAAAAATCCTATATGCATTCCTAATCGACCCAAGCGTGCTACATACCCTGCCCATCTCATCCTCCTTGACGTGATTATTCTATTTATACTTGTCGAAGTGTAAAAGATATGAAGCTCCTCATTATGCAGTTTTCTCCAAACTCCCGTCACTTTACCTCTCTTGCGATCCAAATATCCTCCTCGGGACCCTGTTCTCAAACACACTCAGTCTATGTTCCTCCCTTATTATCAGAGACCAAGTTTCCACCAATACAGAACCACACGTAACATTATAATTTTCCTATTATGTTTTTATGTTTTAGACAGCAGACGAGCAGACAAAAGGATATAGACTGAATGGTAGCAAGCATTACACGAATTCACTCTCCTCTTAATTTTCTTCTGAATCAAATTCAGCATAGGAATACGCGTTTCATTTATTCGGATAAAAAATGTAAAATGCTCTTTCCAAAGGTTCATTAGCTATTATAATGAAATATGTAGCTATATGTAGTTGTTGCGCGGATATCCTGCGTTTGTCGGTACTCTAGAGAATAATTTCATATACTGCTAATATATATTCACACACAACTTCGGGAACTACCGCAAGCAGGGCTGTGTTGTTCCCAGGACAGACAATTATTCGGTTTGCGATGCTGGCATTAATGACTCAATTAAATCGAAAGTGAAATATGAATTGAACTGTAATAACACGAAGTTCATACGAACGTTTCATGAGAAGTTTCGAGACGACATGACCACAACATGAGCTTTTCCGTAAACAGAACATGAAATACACTAAACTTTCGCTTAATACACTGGGAATTAATCTTCTAAAAATATTATACTGAATTCCTAAACTACTGTATACTGTGTATTAATGTACATGCCTTACGCAACTGACAGTGTCAACATGAGTGTGGTGCAATAAATCAAGTTCGCAGTGGAGATCCAGAAACAGGCTTCATGTAGGGCGCTACAGCCCTCGTTTGGGCCTAGGCCTACCTCCATGAAACTCTCCGTTTCACTTCGGTTTACTAGATCTTAGACATACGGTAGGACTCTTTGGGCGGGTGATCAGCTCGTCGCAAGGTCTCTACCTGTACACAAACACGGAAAAACGCACACAAACATCCATGCCCTGAGTGGAATTCAAACCCACTATCCCAGCTTCCGAGGGAGCGAAGACAGTGCATGCTTTAGACTACTCGACTACCGTGACCGTCGGTAGCATTTTTACATCCAAGTAAAAAGGATTTTGTTTTCGTTTAATTATAGCTAACTGGATTAAATGGGGTATGAAGATAAATTTGTGGTATTTATATAATGGAAGCAACAGACGTTTTCTTCGTTCTTCGATAATGAGCAAATCACTTCTAAGGAAACAGCCTACGTTTCCTCACAATAGGCTTGATTATAACGTGTAATTTATTTAAGGAAAGTCTAGAATGTCTAATTTAAGATGGGCGCTCTTCGTTAACAGAAGACCGTGGGGTTCTACAGGTTTCTGACAATGATATAGTATCATTGCACCACTTTACGTGAGCGGTCCGTTGCCTGAATGAAACATCACGCAATTCGTAGGCTGCCTCCGTCATCCTCTGACAGACGGAAGAGACGCGTAGTCTGTGATATCCTTCCAAGCGAGCCATTACGAAGAGGCCAAGACTGACTGAAGAAGAAACAAAGCCAGGCCCTGAAACTTCTTATACTAGTATATCTGATAATGGGCACTGTCCAAAGAAACTTTACGATTACTCTTCATCATCAATAACAACGACGACGACTAAAAAATATGACAGTTTTATTCTTATCCATTTAGTGCCTAAACTAGGAGATCATGACGTCACTATTGCTTTCCAGAGTATTGAGTTAGGTCTACAGACTTCATAGCCTCCGAGTCACAAAATACGTACTATAAACCCTGAAGTACTCGTACTAAATAATAAGTGAAAAGTACAGGCACAATGTTAAGCACTTCTTTTGTTCTCTTTCTATACTCTAGGACTATGAAGTCGCGCCAAGTTACACAGTATTTTGAAAAGCAACAATTACCTGATGATCTGCCAATTAAGGCACCGCGTGGATACAAATAAGTCTCCCATATATCTCTGACTTCTGTTTTAGTTGTTTAATCATGGATTTTCTTTGGACACTATCCATTATTTATATGTATAAAACGTTTCAAAGGATGTTTTTTCCTTCTTCGGTGACTCTGGGCTTTTTCGTAATGACTTATTTTGAAGGACATCACATAATGCGTGTCCTGTCCCATTTATCTGAGGATGACAGAGCCAGCTTACTAATTGTGTATCGTTTCATTCAGGCAATGGACAGTGCTCAAGTAGAAATACTGTGATGATCCTTCACCATTGTCAGAAACCCGTCCACGCGATTGTTTCTGTGAACGAAGAACGCCCATTTTCTACAAAAAAGTATCCTAATGTAGTCTCAAATGTTTTTGCAGGAACATGAATTACCTCATACAGTCAGGCAATAGCTCAAGGAAAGTAAACAATCCGTAACACTGTGCTCTCCACTACCCTTGGCCCACTTACTAGCTACAGGAAGTAATTCACGTTTCTGCAAAATATCAGAGGCAAGAGTATGTCGAATTATAGTCTCATCTTTCCTCTTTTAGTGGCCGCTGATAATGCTCGCCATTTCCGGTGTCTGTCAGTAAATCGCGATTATCCAAACAAATGAAATGTTCTAATATTACAGAAGAAATGAACGACCGCCAATGAACCGAAGTTTTATATATTGCCTTCTGCAAAGGAAACTAGAAAATTTGGCTTGTTTCTGTGGTACAGGAACACGTAGATCTATCTTTGTTGAGACGTATGGGACTATAATTAGTTGGGAAAGGCTCCATCAGAGGAAGTAACTACATGAAATTTATTTCCCGGCTCTTTGAAATTTTAACCACTACTATAAGCGAACTGAGCCCACACTGCTAATGCTGCATTTACAGGAAGGGCTCCATATGCATTTTCTGTCATAAAGAATAGTCTATCCAACAAAATGAAACCAAAAGTCGTTCTCCTATATAGCAAGTAAAATATAGCTATTAGATCATTAGTCTTGGGAAATATGATTACGCAACATAGCCTACGCATCATAGAAAGAGAAACTGAATTTTTAGGTTCCACATTTAAGGTCGAAATAAGCGGCCTCCGTAGTCTAGAGGTAACGTTCCCACCTCATGACTCGTAGTACGCGGGTTCAAATACCCAGCGGAGGTCGTCGAATTTTTAAGGGCGGAAAAATTCAGGGAACAAGTCCTCCGGGAG